AACAGCGATCGAGAACAGGATCTCTTATGAACCGCGTGGGCGGACAATTGTCGGGCGTTAAATCATAACGGTCAAGCTTCGACATCCCTGACGACGCATCGTGGGCGTTTCCTTCTTTGCCCCTTGTGAAAAATTCGCAACCCTCGGGAATTCTATTCGCGCGGAAATAAATCAAGAGAAGGAGAGGGGTATAGTTATATCCCTTTCTATCGAGAATTCGCGCCATTCTTGTCCCTTCCAAGCCGTGGCGAGCGAAAGTTTCGTTTCGTCGAACCGATCATCCGAAATTTCGCGCACGGATCATACAAAGTTGGAATGTTCGATCGAGGAAGCAATCGAGCAATCGTGCTTCTTCGGCCTTAAAGTAAAAGTTTTCCTCGTCGAATGAAAAGGAAATGACAATGATGCAAAATGAACGTTTGACATTTGATAATCTATAATTATATCGCGAGATATATCGGTATTTTGATTTATATATAATCTCGACGTTAAATTAAGGAATAAAAAAAAAAAAAATGATAATTCCGTGAAAAGTGGCAATTTCGAGCGTCGTGTAAAAACTCGTATAATGAATCCGTTCGCAAATCCAAATATGGATCCTCGTTTATCGATTGCCTCGGGAGCCCCGGTTAAGAATAATACCCGGTTTCCGCACCTTGTTATTACGCTTCTCTTTGCTTTGCGTATTATTCTATCCCGACCGCGTTGTTTTACGACGCGAACGCTCGCAATAAATGGCGTTTAAGGGCGTGTTAATACCACGCTCTTAAATTCAAAAGATTCGACTATAATCCGACTATTATTTCCACGACAAAAAATTACCTACGAATTGACTCGAATCGAATTAATTTCCTAATTTCCTAGGATTTTCGAAAGTGAAAAACTCGAAATTTATTAATTCCTCGATAAATAATAATAATAATCGAGCCTCCTCGTACGAAACTCACCGGCGGTCCAAGGATAATGGAGGGGGGGGCGAAGGAGCTGATATCGGTGCATTGGCCACGGTAAATTGTCCGGGTAATTGGCAACAGCCTGAGCGCGGACATCGATGGATAATGCGGCGAGGAGAGCGTAATAGGCAAGAGAGCCACGCGGTTCGTGGCACAGACCCGTGTACGGCCGCGGTAAATTCTGCCGCGGGTAATTGCGAAACAGGAGAGGGAGCGTGTGGGTGCTGATGGAATCCCGAGGGAGGAGGAGGATAATAATAAAGGGGAGGGGAAACTCGCCGCTTTGTCGTCCGCGGCGAGTTTTAGCCGGACGGCGAGGTTATTACGCAAACGCGAATTACACGAGGCTGAGATATTGCGATATCCTCCACGGAGGGTACTATCCCCCTGTTGGAACTTGGAAACCCTACCTCGCGGAGAAAAAGGAATTTATAGAACGTGTATATAACTAAGAGGGAAGGGACAAACGACGATTGTCTACCAACCCTGCCGGGTTAGAAGAAAACAATTTGCCGAGGATGGGCAATCGGCCGATGCGCGATTTACGGTTTATATTACACCGCCTCGAGATTTCCAATAAACACGGGATCCTATGATTGGTCGCGTAACGGTGGACAAGTATGGGAGGACGGTTGAAATAATTGCAGAAGTGCATAGCGCGGGTGCAGTTGGAATCCGCAAGGGGAAAGGATAATAGCCGTGGAACGTGTCCACGGCCACGGCGGGTATCGTATTCCTATACGGATACGAGTGGATACGTAGCATCGAGGTATCGGTTTTAATACGCCGCGTGTACATAATTTAACCATCGGCCCCTGTCGCCGGATAAAATATCGTCGACTACCTTCCACGTTACCTTCGTAATCCTTCGCCCTTTTAAAAGGGTGGGTTACAAGTACCGGCGAATTAAAAGTACCTGCGGAATTGATAGAGATGGATAGATCTCTCCTTTCTTCTCCGACGAGTTTCGAATTGATTTTTAATAAATTTGAGACAGGCAAAGAATATTTAAAGACAAACGAATAATTTCGTACGAAGAGACGATTCCCTTCTCACTATTCTGTAAGGATAATGGAAGATCTAGGGAGCTATTCGCAGGTATTTCCTCTCTCTTTTTCTCCAAAAAATGTTCTCCGACACGAGAAGAGATTTCCTCTGGCCGCGCCCTGCACCACCTAAACGTAATCTCGGCAATATTTCTAACCGAGTCCTTGACGCCGAGCTTGAGATTGGGGGCGGATAAATTACGGGGCGTAAACTGCATCCTGACAGTAAATTACTCGATAGCGAGTAGACGATACCGTGGAACGTGGCGCCTACGCGCTAAACCGCATCCACTTCCATAATCCTACCACTCTTGATCCACGACATTCCTGCGACGAATACCAAGCGATATCTATACACACCTCTCTCCTCCAACAAATTTCAAATTCCCTCCTCTCCTGTCGATTTTTTCCACGATTTCTTTGCTCCGAGAAAATTGTCGTACTTTTATCGTTTCGAATAATTTTATTCTTCTTTTTTTCTCTCTCTCTCTCTATCTCCTAGAGAAAGAAATATAATGGTGTTGTTATACATTCGAAGAGGCGAGGAGTACAGCGGTGGAGGGAGATGGAATAAATTTGAATACTCGTCGCGGCGGGCACGTGGCGGCGCTCAGCTGTTTTCACGGATAACATCTTCGTCATCTCGCCGCGTGTAGCGGTGTATTTCTAGCGAGGAAGAAAAAAAGAAAAAAATATCGAAACCACCGTCGAAGGTCGGATTCCATCGGATCTCTGCATTCTATTAACTGCGTTATCGTCTCCGTGTATCTTCTTTACGGGGAGGGGAAGGTCTTAACGGAGAATGCGCCACGCGTAACGAACATGTATAATAAATCTTATTAACGATACGATTTTTGATATTTCGTCTCATCGAGTCGAATGAAGCAGATCGAAGGAACGTGTCCGTTACGTTATAATTTCTTACGTTATTCCAATGATTTCTCAACCGGTGTATAATTTAATATCGCTCCATCTATCGAAGTTCACAGGGGGATTGCGTGCACGCGCGTTAAACCGATGGGAAAATAGATTCTATCCACGGGCACCCTTTGTGGGAGCACAGGCGGCGAACGATTTCGCAAAAGGCGTCGTTTTCCACGGCGAGAGTCCGTCATAACCGTGTTACCGAAACGTAAACTACAATAGCGTTAACGCCGTTCTCTGTGCAAATCATCCTCGACTCGTGGCTTTCGATTTATACGAATCGATTCCCTTCCGATAAGATCGTCGAGGTTCACTCACGGCACGATTCATCTCCAGTTTTGCAATAAGTTCGCAATAATACGTACGTGGCCGTGAGATGGCCAATCGCGTTCGCGTCGGAGAGCGATCGATAGGATCCTCCACGATAACGTTTTCTTTCTCTCGGGAAAGAAACTCTTTGCTTCCCGTTTTATTCGTTTTATTTGCGAACTTGGCAAAAGTTTATATTAGCAGTTTTTCTTTTTCTTTTTTTTTTTAACAACGGAGAAACTCTTGAATTTCGCACGCGAAACGATCGTTTCTGCGAAATCTTGTTCACTTCGTAGACTTTACAGAAGTTGTAGAAATGTTTGAAGAGATGAATCAACAACCGCGAAATTTCGAAATTTTCGATTCGAAATTGGAAATGGACGAAATTGAGAGATGAAAGATATTTAGAAAAGGAGGAAAAGTTGTCCCTCGAAGAAAGAACCGCTAACAAGCCAATTTTTTCCCAAAGCAGCCCTAAATGGATTAAAGCCAATTTAGCTATTCGAGGAAGCATTTTAAAGTCTGTCACCGTATTTGGACCTTCGTCGAGATGGGAATCGAGAAAAAAGGAGGTTCACGCGCACCCTTGGGGCACACCCTCGGGGAGCAACAGCACTTTGCTTAATTTCCGCGTGTACTAGTTATCCAACGACCCGAACGTTACGTAAACTGACATTTTCGCGGCTAATGCGAGCTAGCTGACGAGCGAGTTGACCCGCGAGTCGTTCAACCTTGTCAAAGCTCGATGAAAGAGTTTTTCTTTCTTTTCTTTCTTTTTTTTTGAAAATTTTCCTCGCATACAAATTTAACAATACAAACGATAAACGGAGGAAACGAGTCTGTCTTTTGTAGAGACGAAATTTTAATAATTGATAATCGATTAACGATGCACGTTTTTCTCTTTGGAATTACTTTTATCTAAAGTTTTTTTTTTAAAAACTTCGCTTCGAAACTGAAGAAAATATTGCGCGTTACGTAACGTAAACTATTCGAGATACGTATTTAAATACGTCGCCGTTCACCGTTCATCTACGAATCAGTTTCCTCTTCGACCTTCGAGTGTGATTTAAAGATTGAGGCGCGAAATGCGTTCTCGTGCACAACGAACGAAAAGCGTCTAAACTTTCGTTTAAAATCGGGAATGCGAGCTATGCGATTCCACGCGAGCAACAAAGTGAAAAAAAAAAAAAAAAAAAAGGAATAACGAGAAAAATATCGTGTTTATACGATGATGCAATAAAGCGAAAATGCTTGGTTAAATATTCGATACGAGGCGCGAAAAAGAAAAAAAAAAATTGATTCGAAACGTTGAATAATATTTCATTGCGTCATCGCATAGGAATAAGAATGATAGATTGCAGGTAGAAGAAGTACGGTTTAAAGAAATGTCAAACACTCACCCACTCTCGACACGACCGCCAGCAGGAGCAACACGCTGCTCACGATGATCATCTTCGTCCCTCTCTCTCTCTCTCTCTCTCTCTCTCTCTCTCTCTAGGGCCTCGTTCCTAATAGCTCGAT